CGTCGTGTGTCCGGAGGCTTTCATAGCTTGCTTATCCCCGTGGTTTCGGACCCATGCTCTGGTGCACCTCGCAGCCTGGTATTCGGCGTCCTGCCTAAGAGCCTGCTTCTGCCTGCTGCTTCATTTCATACCCTGAAATCTTCCAAACAGCCTCTTTAGCCCATTAAAGGAAGGAGATGCGATTGGGAAAAAGGAGGAAGAATGATGGACTCCCGATCAAAGAAGCTGCTTTGGGCCACAGAAAGCAGCAGGGTGTGGGGAAGGGAAGTTGGGGAGCGGGGCATGAACCCTTGCAAAACACCATTTCCTTTGGGAAAACGGCTCCCTTTCTCCTATGCTGGTGTAGTGACTTTTCCCTTCTCCCGCTCCACTGCTGCACTGGGGTGCGGTACTGGTGCCCCAGTATTACTTCCCCTCCTGGACTGTCAGCTGGATCAGTCATTCTGTCCCATGCACATCTCTTGGGCTTTCCCCAGGAAGTGATAGCCTGGCGGGAAGCTTGCATTTCATGCGCCTCGCAGAGACCGCAGGTTTGCTCAGCGAGCTGGCAGTGTCGCATCACCCGTGCGTTCCCTGATGAGAGGCAGATAACTGCAGGTTTAGGGATCAGTGAGATCAACCACGTCTTTTAGTAAGGTTGCATTTGTAAAGGGTGAATACATGATGAACAGGTGTATTCATCAGGCTGACAGGATGCTTATTATTCTGACATGACCATTTGTAGCACCCTTCCATTGATGGGCTTATAAGCACTGATAATGCACGTACATGTGCGTATCCGATATAAGGGCTGACAGCATGCTTATATATACGCATAAGGGCCGATAGCATGCTTATATGCATACAGGCTGATAGCATGCTTATACGCATAAGGGCCAATAGCATGCAGCGTGCATAAGGGCCGATAGCATGCTTATATGATCCACAAATTGTTTAGAAATGGAGCCTTCAGATAAAGCATGACCAAGAAATTTAGTTCCTAATGAAGGAGAAAGATCACTGGTATTTGTGTTGCCTTAGTATCAGGACGAAACCCAGCCAGGAATCGAGGGTCTGTTGCAGCGAACCCTGTATGTGCGCCTAACAAAAAGTCCCTGCCCCAAACAGCCTGCATTGTAAGGGCTCTCTGTTAGAGCCCGACGAGAGAAACATATGGTTATAGTTAAAAGGAATAACAACAACAAAAAATCCCTCCTTCCTTTCCAAATCCATTTTCGGCGTGTCAAGCAACCAGCCTTTCACACAGTAGTTTTCCTGCTTGCAGAGGGTAATTCTCTCTGCCTAGCCAAGGGCAATTGCAAGCCATTGAAAAACCACGTTGTGTGGTGTCCCATGTATTGGAAGAACTCAAAAAAAAAAAAGGAATAAAAAAAGGCAGGCAGCAGATAGTTGTGACTCAGCTGGTAACTTATGATCCTGTGCTATTTCTGTAACATTTCTAACATATGACCAACATTTTCTAATATTAGGGGTGCATCACATCATGTCGGTGAGATCTCCAGATTGCCAGCTCTATCCTTGTCCATAGAGACCCGTCTTGAACGAGTGTGCTGGAGCAGTCCAGTCTGGCTCTTTGCTGTGGTTTCAAATTGCTGCGGTTTTGCTTTTGATTCGCTTTGCTATCGCGTGCCGTACGGTACGGGTTGCTGCCATTTGCTCGTGCTGACACGGCCGTCTTTCCATCTTGGACCAAAATGCATCGGTTAGGCAAGGTAGCAAGATTGCATCTAATGCTGACGTTGGGGATGGATCCTTAGTTGGAGCGCCATCAAAATTAGTGGGGTTATGCTAATGTACAGCAGCCGCGGGTCCATCCCGCTGGGATCAGAGGATGCACGGTTTATCCGCGAAGAGCGATAGAGATGGCAGAGGCGTCTCGCACTGCCGAGGCTTGGAGCGATGTGATTGCCTTGACTCGAGGCAAGCACAGATGCACACGTGTGGGTGATGGGAGGTTGGGGGGCAAATTCCAGAATAGACCGTACAAATTCTCTTTTAATTCCTTTTCTTCTTTAAATCCACCAAGGTATTTATAACTAGCGCAAACAAACAAAAAACCCAGCTGACCCCCAGCATGCCAAGGACACAACGGCAAAGCAATCATGGGGGTTAACACTACCAGTGAACTCGCAGATGCGAAAGCTGCTTTGGGATTTTGCATTTAATTTTTGTCTGGATAATATGGAGAAATGCAGGGTTAATGAGCTGTGTCTGGCTTTCCTGTGAGCCGCTTTATTTGCACTTTGCGGCGGCTTTTCCCGGGCCTCGGCTGCGGTCTGATCGTATCGGCAGATTTGACGAAGTTGCCGATGGATGCTTGCAAGAAGAAGGAAGTAAAGGAGAAAAAGAAAGAATAGGAAAGCAAGCTGGAAAGGAGTCCTGCTTTCTAGCTTTGCGTGTGAACTCCTTATTCAAACTCTGTTCCTTGATTAAGTATCCAGTAAAACCTATTCAGCTTGTGTGCCAATTAAACTTTAATGAAGCAAGAGGGTGTGTATGTATTAGCTGAGTAATGTGGGAGGATGGCTTCCAGTAAGGGAGTTCTGCAAGCACTTCATTGCACGTCCGGGCTCGTGTTACTAGAAAGCACCCAGTCATGCTGGATGTGGAGCTCGTTGCTCTGCAGAGATGAACAAGGGGCTGGAAAGCGGTGGGGTGCAATGGGATGGTGGGCGCTGGCTGATCCGCTTGGCTGGATTAGTGCCCGGGGTTAACACTCAAGTCCTGCCCTGCCAGCATGTCTCTCTTTGGTGCTATTAGCCTCAGTCCTCCTCAGCCCAGGCTGCAGCTTGGGTCTGTTTGGTGGCCAGAGTCTCTCTTAAGCCTGACCTTGCAGCTGGGTATCTTGAAGCACTGAACAACCCCTAGCGAGGTGGCATAGGCATGCTC